CTTCGTGAGAGGTGGGGGGGGGGAATCTATCCTTGAATTTAGCATTTTCTGGCACTTAAGTTTGTAGATAATGAATGTTGTCTGAGTTATTTATTAGATATTATTTATTTAATTTATTTCTCCCTTCCTTTCATACAAATTCCTTGGGTTCCATACATGTGCTTGCAAAACCTCCCTAAGGCTTCATTTGGAAAGTAGCTCATAATTTTGCTGGGAATTCCCAAATTTGGGATGAGAATAAAGGAGGAAGCTAGTGCAGAATTACCTGCAATGATTTTATAAAAGCAGCAATAATTTGAATGGCTATGCAAGTTAATATTTTTTAGATTTTTTTAAACTCTAAGACAAGCCAGTTATTTTGGGGGAATTGGTTGTTTATGCTTTTGGGGTGTGTGGTTCTCAGGAACCAGGCATCCCTGAAATTGTTCAGAGGGACTTTATAATTGAATGAAAATTTGGGAATGTAGTATGATTGTAAAGAGCCTACTCTCCAACCCAGGGTGGTCTCTATCTTCTGGGTACTTTACCAGATAAAAGCAAAGTAACTGTTTAAACTTTTTGTAAAAAAAAGAAAAAGAAAAGAAAAGAAAAAAGAATTTTTCCCTTCCTTTTTTTCTAGCAGAAATAAAGCTTGTGAGTCTTATTAGACATTGTGTTGTGTTATCAAAGTTTTTCTTCACTGTCGCCTATTTCCTGGATTCCAAGTCCCGTGAGCAGCCAGCAGAGCACAGGCTGGCCTGTCAAGAGAATATACATATCCCATATTTAACTGAGCTTGCCAGAAGATTTGAAAGGTCTAAACTAAGTAGCTAGAAGCCTAGAAGGACCAATCTCTGTCACTCAAACAATCAACCATACGATCTGCAGCTGAGAAAAAAACACATCTTACTATTTACAGAAATGTAGGGCTATGGGCAATCTAAGCCATCAAGCCACAGAAAGATGAACCACAGAAAGACAGAATATTATTCAAAATTTAGGTGAGCCTACTAACCTTTAAAAAGCCATGAAGTATGCTTTTTTGGACAACTGCTTCTTAATACCTCTTCTTTTGATGTTTTTCTTTCAGTTTTCATCAGTTAAAACTTTTCAGGGTCCTTTCTTGTATGCATAAAATGCTGATGATAAAGAAATAATAATGCTGGTGATAAAAACCCCCACAAAGCTTAATAAAACAGGCTTGGTTAATCAAGAGAGAGATTTGGTTTAAAATATTTAAGAAACAGAAAATGCAGAATGAGTCATTCTCCTACCCCTATCCTCCATCTGCTCAGTACCCACTTTCCAACTAGAAGCCACTTTTTAGCTTTTAGTTTATTAGTTGTCAGAAATCTTTTATACATACATAAAAAATATTAGGGCCTGGCTAGTGTGCCTCAGTGGTTGAGCATCAACCCCATGAACCAAGAGGTCACCGATTCTGTTCCTGGTCAGGGCACCCTCCAGGTTGCGGGCTTGATCCCCAGTAGGCGGTTGCAGGAGGCAGCCGAAGGATGTTTCCCTCACCTTGATGTTTCTATCTCTTGATCCCTCTCCCTTCCTCCCTCTAAAATCAATAGAAAACATATAAAAAATATTAGGTACATTAGATACAAATATTAGGTATAGATATTAAGTTACATTATCTTCTTTTTCCTTCAATCAATGGCAGCATAATATAACACAGTTCTGCATTTTTTTGTTTATTTCAGTCCACATCTTGGGGCTGTTTCGTAACTGTTTGTTATAGCTGGTTAGCATTCTATGTTAAAATAGCACAATTTATGAAATTAAATTATATAATTTAGATTTTCTAGTTCATGATACTGAATGAATAATCCTGTGCACATGTCATTGGATGCTTATTAAGAGAACATTTACTTTGCAAAGAATATTATAGAGGGATAAAGGTAAACTGACAGATAATATAATCATGTCTAGCAGTTATTGGATGCTATGAACTGTCTAAGTGATTTACATGTATTAATTCATTCAGTCCTAAAACCATCCCTATAAAGGAGACACTTACTATTCTCATTTTACAAATTAGGAAGCCAAGGTGTAGAGTAACCTGTTCAACCTCACATTGCTAGTAAATGATGGAGGCAGCATCTGAACTAGTTGGTTTATTCAAAAGGTTTGAAATGATCCTCAGTGGTTGTTTGCTAGGTAGGTACATAAGGATGTCCTATCTGCAAAAGACTGGAGTTGGTGGAAGTGGAGGTACTTTTTGACACCCCTCAAATTGTCCTTTACATATGACACCCTGTTGCCTCTGTGACCCAGGCTGGCGCATACACGAGGTCTGGAGCAGAATCTGAGAGAAGACTTTCTTTTGACAAAAGCCCAACTTTCTATCATGGGTTGCCTACGTAGACTATGTAGATATAGGCCAGGTCACGGATCAGAACTTTGCTGCTTGCAAGTGTCCATCTTGCAGAAGGCTTACATCCATTTCACTGCTGTCATCTCACATATCTTTAGAGTTTTTGAAAAAGAAGTTTTAACAGGGAACTATAGTTATGAAAATAAAATTTTCTATTAACATAGGAGTATCTTATCTTCAAGATTATTTTTCCTATCTATAAAACTTTGGATTATGGTTTGGTGCTTTCATTACAAGCATTGGCTTTAGGATATCAAATAAGCAATATTTTAGTTATGCAACTTTATAATTAAATAACTTTAAATTGATTAACCCTGCAAAGCCCCAGTTCCCTCTAATTTAAAAATGGCAATAATAGCAATGGTTTCTCATAAGATTATTATAATTAATTAATGGAGATAATACATCCAAAGCCCATAGAAAGCATTTAATAAGTGGTAATTATTACCATCCATGTTACTATTTATTATTCTTTGATTACATTCATGATAACTTTTCTCTTTGCCTCCAATATATGTCTGGGGGAGTACTGATGGTGACTGCAAGAGGCTTAGGGAGTCCATGGAGTTTTTTAGTTAAGAGGATTGAATCAGATGGACTTGGGTTTGAAGCTAACTGGCTGAGTAGTCCTAGCACATCTCTATGTTTCAGTTTCTTTCTGTATAAAAAGGGCATAAAAATTCCACCAGCTCCATGGTGTTGACTGGAGAATTAAAAGGGGTGATAATGCCAGTGAAAAGTTATCTCAGGTTCC